AAAAAACCCACCCCCAAACCTTAGGAACCCTTCAGCCAATACGCCATCCAGAATGCCTCCACCTTCAGCCTCGGGCAAGGGGGTTCCCAGAAGACGACAACTCCATGGCAGCAAGAAGGCAAGGGATGGGGTTAAGACTGAGGTGAGAAACCAGCCTGTTGGAGAAGGAGGGGCCCCAGTGGGAATGACCTCCAGGCAGGCTGCGACTGCTACCTCCGCATGCAGCGGGAGAAGAAAGGCCAGAAAAAATGTTTAATGCTTGGGAAGCTGCTGCTGCCTATCTGCCCGTCTCTCCATCTCCTAAGCACCTTTTTTGCAGCCCAAGGGAAATTATTTCTGTTCTATTGTTGGTTGATTGGACACTTACCTAGCTGTTTCTCTCCGTTTCAGACACAGAAACTGGTTTTTGTTTTGGCTTCCTCTCTCTTAGACATTTCTGTGCAGTCTATTGCTGGAGGACACAGGCATACACTGGTGGTCCTGCTCTCACACTCCCTCTTCACCTCATTGCCATGACCCTAGGCCAGAGAGGCACATGTAACAGCACAGCCAAGAATTACTCTACTGAAAATACTGAGGACTATCATAGTCCTCCTCCCAGTGAGAGGCAGTGGCCAGGTGCAGCGCAGGCTGACTCCACCTTGCTAGTCAGTGCATTGCAGCAGCACGCTGAAGACCAGCAGACTCTGCTCTGGGCTGCAGTACAGTTCCCTCGGTTGACTCTGTTTCTTCAATCCCACCACCTGGTTTGGTGGCAGGGGCAGGGAGGAGGTTTTGAACAGCCCAGCTCAGACAGGGGGGCACCTTCTCAAGAGCAGCCCACTCTCTCAGTCTCTGCTGTGGTCGGGCCACAAGGTCACAAAGGGCAGTGCACCTTGGGCTAGAAAAATGATTCCTTCTTTTGGAAGCTGAAAGGAAAAGGAGCTGCCCTGGAAATCCTGAGCCCCAGCACCTGAGCTCCTTTTAGAAAATGTGTTCAGACTTACTAGCTTCTTCTGGATTTCAATCTAAGTCCCAAGAAAGAGTTAGTACGGTACTACTAATTTGCTGTACTGATGAAATCTTCAAAAAATCTCCAAAAGCTAAATTTTCATTCAGTCTATTTATTTTTTTTTAAATTGCATGTCAGTGCCTGTGCCAAACATCAGCAGTCAATAGAGGACTTAGATGATAACAAACGTAACGTTAATTACATGGTTATTGTTACTCATTTTTTAATAAGGTCTGTATATGCAATCAAGTAATAAAGCAAAACTGAGGCTCTTTGCAAAGCATACTGTTCCCAAGGAAGCACACAAGAAGCCAGAAAAATCTCCAGAAAGGGCTCCAGACACTGGGGTGAGGTTCCTAACGTTGATCCCCAGGTCTTCTAACACTGCAGCCACCGTAGCTAATCTAGTAGCCTGGCAAAAGATACTGGCAAAGACAGACAGTTACTGGCAAAGAGTAGAGCTACACATAAGGACACCCAGCCTCTCTCCATCCATAATACCCCAGCCCCATGCTCACAACCAGTCTCAAACCACTAAGGAGAAGCAAAGCAGCTATTCAAAGAAATATCTCTTTGCCTCCCCACCAAAACCCCATTGCTCACGGCAGAATTTCCAGTTCTCTGATGTTAAATCGTTACGCTGCAATATTTCACACCTCAGCGGGAGCAGAAGCCTTATATATTAGGAAAGGGAAAGAATTCCTGCTCCCCCTTTTGTATCAGCCTTGGAAGAGTCTAAGATAAAACACATCAAAAAGCTCTGATGATTTTATATGCAGGAGGATGACATTATTTTAGAGGATTCCCCCTGCCCTATAAAGCTGGACTTAAGATCAGTAAGGCGCCTGGATTTGTTGCTGAAGGCATGCAGACAATGTGACTGGTACAGTGAGCTAAAATGTCCTAAAACATTTCTAAAATACTTCATAATGCCAGACACAATCATATCTTTAATACTAACACATGACAGCATAAAGGGTTTACCAACATGAATTGCAATATGTTGCCTTATCCCTGCATGACAGGGTTACTATATGGAGCTTGTTCCCAACAACAAAGCTGATAAAGCCAGATGCCATCCCTGCCAGCACGCATTGTATATCTGGGGCAACTTAGGGACCTGCTGATTGAAGGAAATCCTCCTCCTACCAAACACAGACTGGCAGCAGAAATGCTTCGCGTCAATTTTTTTCAGTCTTAATGACTGTAACAGCTTCTGCAATCTTTGTAAGGGAAGTGGACGAAAAGGAGCAGGAGATTGTCGCTCACTCTCTGGCCATATTATGAAAGGAACTGCGCAGTGAGGGATGCTTAGGAAGCCTCGGGGAAGGGAGATGAGGGAACAGAGGGGAGGAACATGGGCTTTAGAGATACACCCCCCCAGTCCGCCTATGGGAGTCTGAAAGAAAGTATCTGAATGCTGATCTTTCTTAATACGCCTGAGTGTTAGAAAAGTTTGGCTTTCTGAGTCTTGCAACGTGAATCCACTCCTAGTCAGCAGGTGGTACTCATAAGCAAGCCCCTTTTCCTGGACTAAAACTGGCCGCCAGCAGGGAGGACGCAGCTCAATAGGGACAGCACAGCGATGTCTGCTCTGGGATGCAGACATCGGTTAATGTTAGTGGTGGGGAGGGGTCGGGGAACCGTCGGCCCTGGTCAGTTCAAACCTGTCCAGTTTCAGGACCTGACCCAAACGGTCTCACTTACACAATACTTCTGGAGAAGAATTTTGGTGGAGTCCAATTGCAGGTGCAGTATGTAGGGCTGCCTGTCAGGAGAAGAAATGCTGCTTGGGGAAGGAGACACAACATCTGTCCTAAATCTTCCTTATATAGGGCTTTCCCCCCCACTTTTTAAAGCATCTATTTGGTATTTACCTCAAAACCAGAGCCTCCATGCTCTGCAAACACAGGCCAACAAAATGACTGAAGCAGTTCTGGAACAAGACATCCAGAATATGATGAGAAGGGGAGGGGAAAAAAATTAAAGGGAAGAAAAAAACAGCCAGCCCAGCAAACGGCATTTAAATCTCTCTCTTCTCCTCTCATTCCCTTGTTCAGTCATTTCTGTCCTGCTTTGAGTGTGCTGTTTTTATCTTCCTCGCTCTCATATAAAAGCCTAGCTCCCCTAGTGAGTGCGCAGATGATGATTTGGCATTGTCCAGGACCATTATGCTGTCAGCTCTCAAAGAAAAAAAGGCTTGTAAAAATCCTGTAGTCAGACAAAGGCAGAGCGTGCAGCTCAGGACAGTTTGTACTGCCGCCTGCTAATAACCTTTCTGAACAATAGCTTACATGGAAAGATCTTCCACAGAACATGAAATTCCTCTTTCAGCTTCACCTTCACTTACTCCTAATTACTGTTCCACTCTCAGCTATACGCATGATACATATGCAAATCCTCTTTCAACCTCTTTTGCACAGAAACAGAGGTGCACCTCCCTCCCCCTGGTCCTGTTCTAGCGCCATCCAACACTACCCTTGCACAATCCACCACACGCTCACTACTACTCCCAGTTCAGTCTAGCTACATGCAAATTCATTCACACACATGGTCTCCATCACTCCCAACAATTCGGCTCCTGCTCTTCTCTCAGGTATATGGAGCTTGGCTTAACACATGCTACTTTTCTTTCTTCACTTATTCAGGAATAGAAATTTGAAGGAAAATGAAGAAGATGCCCAAGAAAGCCATTTCTGTTGAAGACCAAAGATAGGATCAACCGCTTTTTCCAAAGCACAGAAAATCAGCAAGTTTTCTTGAGGCAACTTAAAGAGGGAAGAACTGCCACGTGCATCAGTGGTGTGAGCAGATAATTGACCCAGCTTCCCCTGAGCCCCAGTGGTGTTGGGTCCATTGCAGCCCAAGCTATACAGGCTGGTTCTTCTGCTCGGCTTGTAGAGACTCAGGCCCTGACAGAGGAACTGAGGTGACCTATCTATCTCAGACAATTTATGACATTACGATCTCCAGCGTTTGCTCTGGTGCAGATTACCAGCTCCATGACAACGCCAACAGGAATATGCGCATTATGTGCCAGTGCATCAGCTGTCCCTGCTTACAGCATTGGACCTAGTGGGTTTGGGCTAAGATGCTGGACAGTGAAACTAAGTTGAAGTGTGGTCATGTCTGTCTTTCTGGCAGCTCAGCTACAGCAAAAGTTCCTCACTCCTGTCATGTACACAGCCAGCTACCAGCATCTCTGCTTTCACAGAATCATAGAATCATTAAGGTTGGAAAAGACCTCTAAGATCATCAAGTCCAACCGTCAACCCAACACCACCATGCCCACTAAACCATGTCCCTAAGCACCTCATCTACATGTCTTTTAAATATTTCCAGGGATGGTGACTCAACCACTTCCCTGGGCAGCCTGGTCCAATGTTTAACCACTCTTTCAGTAAAGACATTTTTCCTCAATGTCCAATCTAAACCTCCCCTGGCACAACTTGAGGCCATTTCCTCTCGTCCTATCGCTTGTTACTTGGGAGAAGAGACCAACACCCACCTCGCTACAACCTCCTTTCAGGTAGCTGTAGAGCGCGATAAGGTCTCCCTTCAGCCTCCTTTTCTCCAGGCTAAACAACCCCAGTTCCCTCAGCCACTCCTCATAAGACTTGTGCTCCAGACCCCTCACCAGCTTCGTTGCCCTTCTCTGGACACGCTCTAACACCTCAACGTCCTTCTTGTAGTGAGGGGCCCAAAAATGAACACAGTATTCGAGGTGCGGCCTCACCAGTGCCGAGTACAGGGGCACGAGCACTGCCCTACTCCTGCTGGCCACACTATTTGTACCTAAGCGCCACATCTACACGTCTTTTAAATACCTCCAGGGATGGTGACTCAACCACTCCCCTGGGCAGCCTGTTCCAATGCTTGACAACTGTTTCAGTGAAGAAATTTTTCCTAATACCCAACCTAAACCTCCCCTGGTGCAACTTGAGGCCATTTCCTCTCATCCTGTCGCTTGTTACTCGGGAAAAGAGACCGACACCCACCTCGCTACAACCTCCTTTCCTGCCAGAAGAGCCTGCAACACCTGACAGCCAGTTCTGGGGATACCCTAGTTTACAGGAAAGATTGAAATGGCTAAATTTGATGAGTGCAGGCTGCCCCCTCTTTGAGATAATCCTCAAATGAGTGCAAGGATTTGGCAGTATGTAAATGGCACCATGAAGCTGGTACATGAACAAAACAGCACAGCAGAACCTTGAAAGGAGACTGGAAATGGACTTGGAAGTGATCCTTGCTCTGTACGCACCTAAGCCAAGGTCAACGCGCAGTAACTGTGAACACAAAAGCACAGGCAGGCTCCGATCTCTGCCTGCCTAATGTCAGATATACACTACCACAACTGGTGGTGTTAACTTTAGGCTTACACCCATCTCCAGAAGGCCAGGATGTGGCCCAAAGGGTTTACAGTGGGGTGAGCAAGAGCAAGCTCTGGGCTTGCGGGCTTTCGGCAGTGTATTTGCTGAGCTGGGACTAGTTCCTGTTCACCGTCTGTCAATTTTAATGAAAGTCACGTATCTAAAGCTAGGAACAGGAAAGCTGTGTGGAATCCAAGGTTTTGCAAGTGTACTGAACAATAACAACATGCACTAGGGATGCACTAGGGATGAAATCCACCCTGAAAACTAGGGCTGCCAGGAGAAGCAGCCGTCTTTAAGCTCTGAGCTCTTTTCTGAGCAGGGCTGTATCCTGCTGTCTGTTACCAGGATGCCTATTCCAAATAATGCTGCATTTATCTTAGCTGACAAACATTTACCAGAGCTGGTGACATAAAGGTCCACATCTACTAAGAACGTAATTCAGGCAACAAAATAAGCTGTATCTAAGATGCACGTCAGGCACAAGCTGGCTGGAAAAAGGCCACACGAGGTGAAAACCTGGGTCTGTAGGACAAGTTTGGTGTTCTTTGGGTGCACGGAAGGAATATAACTTACATGTGGAGCTCCAGTTCTAGGCAATGCTCGAACCCTTTTATCACCACAAACAGTTTGACCAACCCTCAGAAACATCCTGTGTGCATGAAGCGCTTACAGGGAGTAGACATGGTGTCAGGCCCCTTCATAACCCACTCGCTCTGGGGTGGAGTGGGAAGGGATAGGGTAAAAGCTCTGTGGGCTGGAGCTGGTCACAGGGGCTAACACAAGCCCTTTAGGGATGCTCTAGTGTATGTTAGCAGCCAGGACAGGTGGCCAAAATCCCCAAGCAGCCTGTATAGCTCTGGACATGGCACGATGGCAGAGGGGGACAGGGAACCCAGTAGCCATGGGGAACTGCAGTAGCTGATATATTTTCCTTCTCCCCACTACAACTTCCTCTGACCCATTCCTGCCAGCCTCAAAGTTAAGGTCCACTTACCATGTCCTGCTTCAGTGAAACAACACCTCATCACTTTCTGAGCACTCACATATGCCTGTGTCAAGGTCACCACTGTATATGTAGCTTCTGGCGTAGATTCTCTCTTTATTAATGTTTTTCTTTTTCTCTCTCTTTTTCCACTTTCTTCTTGTGCTAAGGGATCATGAGCAGAATGAAATCCTGACATACTTTCCAGCCCAAGATAGCTAGTGGTTTTACCCTCCCTAGATAAATCATCCCACACTTCTTTGGAAAACATGAATGCATTTCCCTGTGGTCCACAACATCTGAGTATCCTGTCATTATTATTAAGTGAAGGAGAGCCTTCAAAGGCTGTGGTGTTGTCCCCAGGTACTTCAGTTCGCAGTGTTAGGAGCAGGGCCTAGATCAGCACAATGTTTTGCTCACTGTTAACGCCAGACATTCAGGTCTCTAATTTCCAGCACAGCAGAGCCCACTTGAAGAAGTTCATGGTCTTATCCAGCAGCGCAAGAAATGGGCTCTTTATGGAGTATGAAATCCATTTTCCCCAAGCCTTCATTCGGACTGTGCTTTATGACATGAGAAGATGCAGTAAGTGAATAAAGCACTACATTCTTGCTGACTGATGGACAGATGATCCCAGCAGACTCTATCTGTATCTCCCCTTCCCATTGCTGTATATTTGCTGGGCTGTCAGTCTTAAAGCCAAAATTACTTGGGAACCTAGACTTTCCGAGATTTTTTCCCCTGCTCATTCCAGAGAAGGAACTGGAAGTTAACATAGGAGTGAGGGCAAAGAGAGGGAGAGATATCAGCTTTGGCACCTGTAAAGCTTAGATAAGAGGAAAAGTGATGAGTGAGGAGCTTGGACTCAGCTGAACTGCAAATGCCGCACTGCAGCCAACACAGAGTGGCTGCAAGAGAGCATGTACTAACTTTGCAGCAATACCAGACAGCTGGGGTGGGAAAGTGGTTACTGAATTCATTCTCTTGACATCCAGGAAGACAGAGAAAGGGAAAGTGAGGCAAGCAGGGACTAAGGGCGCTTGCCAGAGCCAGAGAGAACCAAGAATAAGACCATACTAAAGCTATTCCCTTAGTCCCCTGCCCCTAAGCAGAACATCAAGGTTTTCTTCACGTAGGAGGGAAGCAATCATGTAGGAGACAGAAAACCCATGAGTTACTCAGTTACTGGGGCTATGGCAAGCAATTCTGGGAACAGCTGCATTTTTTCGCCTCCACTCAAAACAGAAGTTAAAACATAGGCACTTTTTTTTTTTTAACAGGGAGGATAACCTGCTCCAAGAGAGAGGGAGATCATCTGTACAGAGGACCCCTGTTTCAGAGAAGGTCTAAGGAGGGCAATGCAGTCCCTTCTGATTTGAAGACAACCTTCCTCTCGTGGTCACGTTCCCAGCTGGCATCACCCTGCTTGCTTTGAAAGCAGCCAGAGCAATTCACACCAGTTGGGAATCTCACCTGCTGTATTAATGGGTTTCCCTGGAGATGCTGCTTGATATGTGGTCCCCTGGCCTAGCTGCTCTGCTCTGCTCTGCCCAGCATGGGATCCCAACAGCCCAGAAATCCCCTCTGTGCTGGTGAATGAGCCGACGCTCCTGCTCTGCCCGAGCATGCCGGCTAATTCTGCAGATCGCTTTGGGTTCATATTCACTCACTGTACCCCTCAGCCACCAGCTGAAATGGGCTACTGACATCTCCTAGCCTTTCATCTGACTGGTTTGCCTGCCTGCCTGTGCTCATGCTTCCCAGCCACCACCCTCCGGCATCCAACATTGCTTGCTGCCCGGACAGTGCAGCAGCACAGACAGACAGGCTCTCACCCTTTACTTCCAGTCCCAACTTCTCTCAGCTGCTTTCACCACGGAGCTTTCCTGTACTGAACTGTGAGATCCCACTGATGGGAAGAAATCAGCTTGCCAGACCCTCTCGCTAGACAGGGTATGAATGTTTCTTCCCTCTCTCCCTAAGACACAAAAATGACTTATTCTCCAACAGCATCATATATGGGTTCAAACAGTCAATAATTTCCCAACACAAATGCAAGAAAGGAGGATGAAATGCAAGAGGAAAGAAAAGAAATTAGGGGCATGGAAGGCTTCTTCTAAAAACAAAGCCCCCAGTCTAGCATCTCAGTGGTGCAATCTCAAAGGCTACAGTGAGGTAGCAGCAGGGGGAATGGTATAAACCCCCCTCTCTTTCTGAAAATAAGAGACAATATTTGGCCAAAGTTCAGGGAAGGAAAGTCAGGGGGGAGGTGGAAAGGGAGGGGGAGAACAAGAGAGTGTACATGTGAACAAACTCCAGGCAGTTTGTCAGACCTTAGGTCTTTTTTTGCCAGCTTAACCTTCAGTCTGCAGACATGCTGGCTGGAATGTACATGGTTCAATATGAGCGTTGTGTGGAGCACAGGCAGCAGGGCCAGATCAGTCCCTTGTGTAACTCTGCCAATCTGAGCAGGAACCGATGAGGCGCCCTGACTTCACTGCAGCTGTGTTGTGGTGAACTTATGAGGTAAGTGCATATGTGAAGGTTGCAGCTAGATCTGTTTTCCCATGGGAGAGAGCACATGGGAGTAAGATTTTTTTTTTTCCTCTCCTCTTGCTTCTCTAAGAATATCCTTGAAATAGATGGAGATTTTTTGTAATAAAAAGAGGATAACTGGGCTTGCCATAAATCTCTCCGATGTATTTTCAACAATCCCTGCACTCTGGGTGGCTCAGCTTGGGGGGCATTTTTCTAAGTAGTAGCAGTGGTGTATACTATTGGTGAAATAATATTTGGAGCACAGCAAAGGTAAAAGTAGGGCACCACACAAAATAATTGTTCCAGTTTCAAACAATCACCACTTGTGGCCTAATGGCTCAGCTATCAAGTAGCAGCCAGGAATGACTTCCATAGTTGCTGAAGATGATGTGGGTAGATGGGAATTGCACTGGCAGTAGCACAACTCCATCTGTGGCCTGGCCAAAAGGCAGACAGCTAGTTTCATACCTGTTTCCCTCCTACAGCTGAGAACAACTGGCTACCAGCCCAGTTCCAGGTTCAAGCCCCAGGGTGGGAAATCAGCAGACATCTGTTGATTTGATGGGATCATGAATGCCTTTCTGTATTTGCATTACCTACAATCAGACTGTGAGTTGCAATCAACAGATCACTAATGTATTTATCTGACAAACTGGAAATCCACTGGAAAGGCCGGAGCAGGATGAGTATGGAAGAGTGAGGGCAAGAAGGATGTGGACAAACTGGAGAGTCCAGAAAAGAGCAGGAGAATGACCAGATATCTAGGACACACGAGCTACAAGGAAAAACAAAACCAGTGGGACCTGCTTAGCTTAAAAAAGACTAAAGGAGGACACAATAAAAGTGATGAAATCATGGGCAAGGCTCCCACAAAATAAAGAAACAGATGATTGCATCTGATTCATGACAGACAGGACAAGAAGGTATGGTCTCAAACTGCAACAGGAAAGATTCAGTTAGACCTCAGGAAGAACAGCAAGAATAATGAAGCACAAGCATAAATTGTGCTGGGAGGTGTGGAGTCTTTCAAAACAAGCTAGAGAAACAGTTATCGGGAATGACTTGGGAAGAGCTGACCCTGCCATTATGCAGGGATATGGACTAGCTAGCTTGTGAGATCCCTC